ATTTCACCTGTGAAGCCCTCTTGTCCTGGGCTTTTGTTTGTTGGAAGACTTTTGATTACAGTTTCGATTTCTGTGTTTGTGATGGGTCTGTTAAGATTTTCTATTTCTTTCTGGTTCAGTTTTGGAAGGTTATACTTTTCTAAGAATTTGTCCATTTCTTCCAAGTTGTCCATTTTATTGGCATGGAGAATGCAATGGCGACCCACTCCAGTACTCTTGCCTGGAAAATAACCTGGACAGAGGAGCCTGGTAGGCTGCAGTCCATGGGGACTGCAGTCCGTGGGGACAAAGAGTTGAACATAATTGAGTGACTTCACTTTCACTTTTCACTTTCATGCATTGGAGAAGGAAATGGCAACCCACTTTAGTGTTCTTGCCTGGAGAATCCCAGGGACGGGAGAGCCTGGGGGGCTGCCGTCTGTGGGGTCGCACAGAGTCGGACACGACTGAAGCGACGCAGCAGCAGCATACCCATCTTGCATGTCCAATATTGCCCAGCTTGGACAGTCTTGCCGTGATGTTGTAATATCATTTACCCTGCATAGTTGCCATGAAAAAGTGAGCAAATGTCCACAAGAGCACCCTCCCAATGTGTCCACTCCATCAAGATTGCTCTCCTCTCTGTGCTGTCTTCATCTCTATTGGCNTTAGCATTTGCCTTACATATTGCGGTGCTCCTATGTTGGGTGCATATATATTTATAATTGTTATATCTTCTTCTTGGATTGATCCTTTGATCATTATGTAGTGTCCTTCTTTGTCTCTTTTCACTGCCTTTATTCTAAAGCCGATTTGATCTGATATGAGTATTGAGACTCCTTCTTTCTTTTGGTCTCCATTTGTGTGAAATACCTTTTTCCAGCCCTTCACTTTCAGTCTGTATGTGTCCCTTGTTTCAAGGTGGGTCTCTTCTAGACAGCGTATACAAGGGTCTTGGTTTTGTATGCATTCAGCCAGTCTTTATCTTTTGGTTGGAGCATTCAACCTATTTACATTTAAGGTAATTATTGATAAGTATCACCCCATTGCCATTTACTTTGTTGTTTTGTGTTCGAGTTTATAAACCTTTTCTGTGTTTCCTGTCTAGAGAAGTTCCTTTAGCATCTGTTGAAGAGCTGGTTTGGTGGTGCTGAATTCTCTCACCTTTTTCTTGTCTATAAAGCTTTTGATTTATCCATCATATTTGAATGAGATCCTTGCTGGCTATAGTAATCTGGGTTGTAGGTTTTTCTCTTTCATCACTTTAAGAATGTCCTGCCACTTCCTTCTGGCCTGAAGAGTTTCTATTGAAAGACCAGCTGTTATCTTTATGGGAATCCCCTTCTGGCCTGAAGAGTTTCTATTGAAAGACCAGCTGTTATCTTCATGGGAACCCCCTCATGTGTGTTTGTTGCTTTGCTCTTGCTGCTTTTAATATTTGCTCTTTGTGTTTGATCATTGTTAATTAAGCAGAGAGGAGAAAAAAGAAGAATTGAAAGAAATGAGGACAATTTCAGAGACCTCTGGGACAATGTTAAATGCCCAAACATTTGAATCATAGGAATACCAGAAGAATAAGTCAAAGAAAGGTCGTGAGAAAATACTTGAGGAGATAATAGTTGAAAACTTCCCTAAAATGGGGAAGGAAATAGCCATCCAAGTACAAGAAACCCAGAGAGTCCCAAACAGGATAAATCCAAGGCAAAACAGCCCAAGCCACAAACTAATCGTTCATTTATTGATTGGGTTGTTTCATCATTTGATATTGAGCAGCATGTGCTGCTTATATGCTTTAAATATTAACCCTTTGTCAGTTGCTTCATTTGCAAATGTTTTCTCCCGTTCTCAAGGTTGTGTTTTTTGTGTTATTTATGGTTTTCTTTGCTGTACAAAAACATTAAACAAATATTTACCTATTTATTTGACTCCCCCAGATCTTAGTTGCTGTACATGGGATCTCTTATGTCATTCAGGATCTTTTATTGCAACACACAGAGTCTCTGGTAGTGACCCGCAGGCTCTATGGTCATGGTGCATGGGCTTCAGATCATGTGGGCGCAGGAATTGTGGCTCCCACTTAGTTGTTCTGAGCCATGCAGAATCTTAGTTCCTTGAACAGGAATCAAAATCTCATCCCCTGGATTGCAATAGGGATTCTCAAATACTGGGCCAAAGGAAAGTTTCTATGCACAAAGTTTTAAGTTTAATTAGGTCCCATTTGTAAGATATTTGTATTTTCAACACTCCAGGAGATGGGTCAAAAAGGACCTTGCTGCAGTTTACATAAAAGTCTGTTCTGCAAATGTTTACTTCTGTGTTTTACAGAGTGTGACCTTACATTTAGGTCTTGAATCCATTTTGAGTTTATTTTTATGTAGGTGACACTAGTGGTAAAGAATACACCTGTCAATGCAGGAGACATTAGAGACATGGGTTTGGTTCCTGGGTTGGGAATATCCACTGGAGGAGGGCATGGCAACCCACTCCAGTATTTTTGCCTAGAGAATCCTCATGGACAGAGGAGCCTGGCAGGCTACAGTTCATGGAGTTGGATATGACTGAAAAAACTTAGCACACATGTCCATGGTAAAGGAAGTGTTCTCATTTCATTCTTTTACATATAATTGTCCAGTTCTCCCAGCACCACATGCTGAAGAGGCTGTCTTTTCTTCATTCTATATTGTTGCCTTTTTGATCACATCAAAGGCACACTAAGGAGCACATCAAAGATCAAGCGATCATATGTGTGTGGGCTTCTCTGAGAGTTCTATCCTGTTCCACTGGTCTATATTTTTGTTTTTGTGCCAGTACTGTACTTTCTTGATTACCATAGCTTTGTAGTATACTCTGAAGCCAGGGGGCCAGATTTCTCCAGCTCAGCTTTTAGAAATGTGTAGATTATGTTTTTATATATGATTAAGTATCTGTTTTAACTCAGTCAGATATATTTAAGACAGGTATGTTTGTGCTATGTGTGGGGAATTTATCTGTACATAAACAGATAAACATTCTTATAAATGGTCAACTGGATGGGATGGCCAGTATTAGGATGTGAGCTTTGCAAAGAAAAAATGTAAAATGTGCTGAGTCCATCTAGCAAGATGATATTAATTAGTCTGGTAACTTTAACAATGTATCTATGTAAATCCATGACTGATTCATATCAATGTATGACAAAAACCACTAATTAGAAAATGTTCAATAATAAACATAATATTAATGATAACTCCAAAAGAGTGATCACTTTCCCTGACAAGGATTTTCACTAAAGAATTCAAACTTAAACTAAAATTTTAAAAAAATCACATTTTTGAAATGCTTTCTTTGTGAGAATTTTCTGCCAGTATACCTTGAAAAACAAAAGAAGCATAAATCTTTTAAAATTAGTTCCCAGCTAACTTTGCCAATCTTGCTAATAAACTTTATAAAATTTCACATTATGTTTGTAATAAGCTTGATCATAGAGAGGATTTTGTTCAATGTCCAGAAAATATGCTTTGAATTTATTACAAATCGTTTATAGACCAACTTAATACTCCCTAAATATCTCACAACCAGGGATAACACCCCTTTCCTAAAACTTGGAATGTACCAAATGTACAGACAGAATTACATATTTCAAGGAAATAGTCAGCAGCATGCCAGCCTGCTGTTGGACATCAATTATCTTTTCTTATTTTTTACTTGCTTTTTCCCCTAGATACCAGATATATATATGTGAGAAAAACTGGTATCTAGGAAAAAAGCAAGTGTATATATATAGAGAGTTTGCCAAGATTTCTTCCTTTTAAGATCTTATGGGGGAGAAAAAAAGAGCTATTTGGCCAACCCAACGTTGTGTATTACTATTCTACTATAAGGCTGTATGTGTTAGTCGTTCGGTCATGTCGGACTCTTTGCGACCCCACGGACTATAGCCTGACAGGCTTCTCTGCCCAGGGAATTCTCCAAGCAAGAATACTGGAGTGGGTTGCCATTCCCTTCTCCAGAGGAACTTCCAAACCCAGGGATCGAACCCTGGTCTCCTGCCTCGCAGGCAGATTCTTTACCATTTGAGCTACAGGAAGTCTACTCTAAGGGTAAATTTGGTTATAAAAGTTCCCCATAAAGAGTCCATAGGTTGAGCAATGATGAAGGTCACAGAAAGAACATGAACAAAGACAAGCATACAACTCCGCTATCAGAGGGCTGCCTGTTACCTTGGAATTGTCTGAGCCAGTCTATGAGTCCAGGGATGGGCCACACGCTGAGTTCAGGAAGCACAGGCTGGGGCAGAAGCAGCTGCGCTGACTCGATCCTGCAAGAAGGGACCCTTCCCAAGGACTGCAAGGAAAAAAGACCACGTTAGTCATGAGATTTCTGTCCTTTTGTATCTTCTTTCCTCCTTCCATTTGTTGAAAATCTATTACTTTCTAATTCTCTTCTAAGGAACAATCAGAAACTATATTAATAACAGAGCTTAAACTAAAACATGATGGGCTTCCTCAGGGTACATTAAGGAAGGAAGGAGGCCAGGAAGAGTGTGTGCAATGATGCAGCCACATCTAGGATTCCAGTGTCACTCACAGCCCGTGCTACTCCCAAGGAGAGATCTCACCATCTATGATAACAATTAAAGCAAAACAGGGAACCATAAAAAGGATTTATCAAATGCATTGGAACTGATGACCGTTTCTAACAATCTTGCACAGAAAACTGGCAAAACCTCAGTGTCTCCAGGAAGTGTGAGATAACAGAGTGATAAGGGTTTAGCAGAACATATATTGAGATTTACTCCAAGAAAGTTAACTGTCCCCTGGTCACAGAATTTTGCTGATTTTGGATCATCTGTCTGGGTAGTACTCCTGATCACACTGGAAAATCTGGTCTTATGTGAGGTAGGAAAAGGGCAAAAATATTTCAAAGATTACCAGGATATGATGAGAGAGGGATTTGAGAAATATAATTGGAGTCAAGGAGGACCATCCCTTAGCTGAGAGTAACCATATATAAGGTAACATTTTAGTGTCACAGCAGCTCGTCTAGAAGAGCGTTTCTCTCTCTGAGGACGGACCCTCCTTTCTCACCTGGAGCAGCTCTGTGTCCGGCTTGTGGCACATTGCAGTCAGCTCTCTGTACACTTCTTTCAGACTTTCTCCCTGTTGAGTCATTCTCAACACACTCTCCTTGAGTTGCTGACAAATCTCCTTGCCTTCTCGCTCCAGGGCCTCCAGATGCAGTTTCTCATCCTCATGAAGCAACAGAGGTATCCTCTGATATAGAACTGTAATCATGACCTTCCTTAAGGCGACATAATTCTGCAGAGACAGTGGATTCAAAGCATTACTTATGCTCACATTCAAAAGAAAGCTTCAAATATTATTTCCCTAATATCATTGAGAATGTTCTTGACAAACTTTCTGCCTCACACATCTAGTGGTCTTGAATATTTGCTGGCCCTTCCTCTCTGTCCTTTCTCTGAATTCCTAGTCTCTTTCCCTGTTTAAATCAAACCATCTAAAGGTCCTAGGTTCCTTTCCTAGGCGGATTTTCCAGGGTTCTTACTCCATCAATTATTTCCTCTTACCTGAATCTTGTTTCTCTCTTGCTCCTTACCCTGATTTTTCTAAATATTCTTTTATGAGATAAACCCCATCTAGCACAGTTCATAAAATATGCTCTATTTTTCCTCTAGGTAATACTATATTTTTATCTTCTCCTTCAGAGTCACTCTTAGTGCAATGTCATCTTATTTTGCATGTCTTAGAAAGCTTACTCAAATCTTAAAAATTTGGCCTAAGAATACTTTTCATGCCTTGGTTTTCCTATTTACTGGCATTCTTTGAGCTAACTTGCATTGCTGTTCTTGTTGTTCAGTTGCCCAGTTGTGTCTGACTCTCTGTGACTCCATGGACAGCAGCATGCCAGGCCCCACTATCCCTCACCATCTCCCAGAGTTTGCCCAAGTTCATGATTATTTATCGGTGATGCCGTCCAGCCACCTCATCCTCTGACGCCCTCTTCTCCTTCTGCCCTCAACCTTTCCCACCATGAGGGACTCTTCCAATGAATTGTCTGTTCACATCATATGACCAAAGTAGTGGAATTTCAGCTTCAGCATCAGTCCTTCCAACAAGTATTCAGGGCTGATTTCCCTTAAGATTGACCGGTTTGATCTCCTTGTTGTCCTCGGGACTCTCAGGAGTCTCCTCCATCACCACAGATCAAAGGCATTGATTATTCGGCACTCAGCCTTCTTTATGTTTCAGCTCTCACAACTATACATGACCACTGGGGAGACCACAGCCTTAGACTATAAAGATCTTTGTCTGCAGAGAAATGTCTCTGCATTTCAACACACTGTTGAAAAGCAATTTGCATTGGCTTGTTCTAACTACGATTACCGGTAAGTCATTTTCAACTATTACTTTTCCAGGGAAGAGACAAATATCCTTTAATGGGAACTTAAATGGGCCTAAAATCTAGAATTATATCAATGTCTATACAAATAAATCGGAACATTTTTATTCTTACCTCAAAGGACTGAGTTTTGTTAGCTTCCTGATTCAGACTGATTTGCATTTCTTCTCTCAGTTTCCATAAAGATCTCATTCTCTTTACAAGTTTCTCCTGCAAAATACCCATGAGATTTAGTGACCTAGAAAGTGACACCATAAATTTCATCCTGTTCTGGATGAAGAAAGGCAGTTGTTGGTTACATAGAAATCTTGTATAGAATGCTGCGGCCAGAGCTTTCCACATTACTCTAATTTGGTTCTAATACTGGATATCAAAGTCACAGAAGTAAATACTGGAGAACTGGGGGAATTTTACAATAATAGAATCTATTTCCTAAGAAATTGAATCTCACACTTTAATATAGACTGACTAAGAAAACCTCAAACTCCCATCAGAAGCCTCTGTCCCTGGTGCCACCCTCCCCAGGATGCTGCATTTCCACACGTGTGGACAACTGGGCAACAACACTGAAAGGACACATTATATGTGAGGATCCACATTCAGAAATCCCACCTCCACTATCTCCATCCCATCACCATCATAGCATCCTCGTCTTCCCCTCTGACTTAGGAGCCTCTAGATCCCAAACTGCTCTAGAGGCATCACCTACCCGGGACTCCTCAGCAGCCCTGTGTATGGGACTGTGGCTGTGAGCTGCGTGCTCGGGGCGTTCAGAGCAGGGCCCGCAGAGCAGGGTCTGGTCAGCCTCACAGAAGAGGCCTCTGGCTTCCTGGTGTGTCTCACAGATCTGCTCCTCAGAGCGGTGGTCGTGGTCAGCTCTGGCCTGTCTGGCAAGGGAAGCCAGCCTCTTGAGGACAATATTGGTTTTGAAATGGGGCCTCTCTGATATTCCCCTACACTCAGGGCATCTCCTTGGAGTCTGGCCTTCTTCCCAGCAAAGGCTCAGACAGGGACGGCAGAAGCTGTGCCCACAGTCTATGGTGACGGGGTCCAGGAAGCAGTTCATGCAGATGGAGCAGGTGAGTTCCTGCTGGAAGGCTTCCAGCTCGTCTGAATCCATGTTTCTGAAAATGAGAGACAAATAAGAGAAGGTAAGCGAAAAGGCTATTCTTCTGTCCTGATCAGGGAAAATAAAGCCTTTGGCACAGTCCTGTTTTGAACTCTATCTCATTTCCATATTTGCTTACCCTCAATACAAACCTGTATGCTAAGTTACTTCAGTCATTTCAACTCTTTGAGAACCTATGGATTGTAGCCACCTGGGGTCCTCTATCTATGGGATTGTCCAAGCAAGAAAACCAGAGTGGGTTGTCCTGTCTTTCTGGAGGAGATCTTTCCTACCCAGGGATTGGACCCATGTCTCTTAAGCATCCTGCATTTGCAGGTGTGTTCTTTACCACTATCACCACCTGGACTTCCTGATGGCTCAGTGGGTAAAGAATCGGCCAGGAATGCAGGGGACATAGGAGACACGGGTTCCAGCCAAGGGTCAGGAAGATCCCCTGAAGAAGGAAATGGCAATCCACTCCAGCACTCTTGTCTGGGAAATCCCACGGACCTGGGAGCCTGGTGGGCTACAGTAGAGTTGGACATGACTGAGCGACTAAGCATAATCACAGTAGAAACCTAGAAATGGTGACTACAGACTGTTGGGTTCGTGCTATAATAAAAAGGATGAAATTAGATAAGAGTCACTAGCAGCTTTTATTGTTTAAAGTAAACATGAGTGTAAATGTTAGGATGACTCCAGAGTTAATTGGTCAGCTGACTGGTACCAAAGCACACATGTAACCTCAGTCTGTCTCTCTCTCTCCCTCTCTCCCTACTTGGAACCCACACTAGCACTCACTTTGTCTCTGTGCTAATGTTCTCCATTCCTTCTGCCTTTGAAGTAACATATGTGCTTTTCTAAAGACAAGTACAAATGTTTATGGATAATGTAAACAGTGTAATCAATGTTGTTTTTGACTTTGATGTGCTAAATATGTAAATAAGTCAGTGTTTCCTTATGACTTAAGTAACAAAACTACTACTTTCAAAGCAAAAAAAAAAAAAAAGAAGAAGAAATTATGTCATTGCTAGTTCAGGAAAACAGTTTTATCTGGAGTGAGTTCAGATGACCAGAGCATGACATTTTGAACTGGTGAATGTTCCCACTATAACAATAATCAGTAAAAAGAATCAGTTGCTTACTAAAAGCAAAGAAATAAGTTTGAATATACACAAGGATTTCCTCTCTACACTAGAAATTCCAGACATTTGGTTAATGGAAGCAGCATCAGGTTCTTTGTTTTCTGAGACTTCACTCTCTGTCCATTTCACGTCTTTGGAGTCCTTACTGGCTAATTAAATCTATCTTGAACACTTTTCACTTATGCACTGCAAAGTGAGGGTTCTAAAATGATAGCAAATGCCACTATTTCAAGGAGGTTTTCTGATTAATTCACCCATTTAGCTCATGTTCATCTGTGTGAAGGATATGAAATATATACATTATGTTGAACATTTTAGGAGTACTATGTGTTTTATAAGTACTTGGGTCTCTAGAATACTCTTCTAAGACTTAAGAACATCTAGTAACATAAGGTCATGAAATAACGATGATTAAATAGATTAACATTATAGATATCAATATATTAAAATTGCTTTATTATGTTATTTTAAATTTTGATGTCAATTTTAAAACCTAAAACTACTTGTTTTCTTGGACACTATTTATCCAGGTAAGTAGGTAAATGGAAAGTATTTGGATAAGAGAAAGTGAGCATAAATATACACTTTAAGTTACCATACATTGTGACTAAATATTTGTTTTAAATATATGATTCCTGTATTCTTCCCTGTCTATGAGAAATTGAAAAGAAGAGGCTACATCTTTCCAAGGCTGAGAATTCAGTTCTGGTCATGAAAAGAGACAGAAAGAAAAACTTCTGCTAATTGAATGAGTATAACATCAACTTTAAGATGCCTTTCCAAAAAAGCTTGACAGTAAAGCCATAGTGTACAGATCTATTTCTTGTAAAAATTGTTAATAAGAGATTTATGGAATTCTGATAGATGACCACAGTTTTCAACAGTATAGAACCTAAAGCCTTTGACTGAAATGTGCATCAATTGAGGAGATAGCTGATGAACAGGGAGAAAGTATAAAGGAAAAAGGTGTAGAATGGGTTAGAAACTGGCCAAGAATTCTTGAAGAAAATCACTTTTATACTAATGACATCAATGATCATGATACTATTAAAATAATAGGAGAACCTAATGGGCTTCTCAAGTGGCTCTGTGATAAAAAATCAGCTTGCCTACACAGGAGATGGAGGTTTGATCCCTCAGTCACAAAGACCCACTGGAGAAAGAGGTGGCAATCCACTGCAGTATTCTTGCTTGGGAAATCTCATGGACAGGGGAGCCTGGTGGGCTAGTCCATGGTGTCCCAAGGGGTCAGACATGACTTAGCAACTCAACAACAACAGGAGGAGCCAATGTGTGTTTTGTTTATTTTTTATAAATATCTCTAGGTATTAGATTAACTCCTTTTATATGGATTAACTATTTCAATTTTCTCAACAGCATTTACTAATTTTCTATTTTTACCCACATGTTCTAAGGAAGCTGCTTGACATAGTGTGGGTAAAAGAAGTTACTTGTCTACAAATCCCTCAGGGAATAAACACTTGATTCAGGGTTCACGTATAGATATTACTGATGGAAAAAAATTACATTTCTGTCAGCAATTGCCATTAAAGTTTCATTTTTAAGTGAGCATAGCAGAATTTCACTGTACCTTGATAAAAACTCACCTTTGGGTACACTTGATGAAATGTTCTATTCCTGTTCGGTAAGTAGCTATTAAATTCAGTTCAGCATTAGGTGCTCACCTCCTTCTGGCAGTAACTTTTAAAATTCTTCTCAGTGCAACAAACTCCAATCGGGACAGCTCTGGATTCTGGAGAAGAATGCAATTGCATCTTCAGGGAATGCTTTATATATTCTCTGAAGACCACACCCATTTCCTCCAAGTGATGTGGTTATCAGCCCTATGAAAAAGTATAGGTGAACATGATTAGATTTTTGCAGAGTTGAAAGCATTTTCATTTGCTAATGATTGAAGTCAAACCTTTGAAATCTACTTAATTCAATTGCTACACGGCAATCTCTGCTAAAAAGTCATATCTTGAGTTTACAGTTGTAATCCATGAAGTTGTTGTTTGGACAATAATAAACTCCTGAACATGAATTTAATATCTCCGCTTAATGAACGATATTATAGTTCTAATTCTAGATGACAATTATATCTATTACTTTGGGCAAGAATCCCTTAGAAGAAATGGAGTAGCCCTCATCATCCATAAAATAGTCTGAAATGCAGTCCATGGGTGAAATCTCAAAAAGGACAGAATGATCTCATTCATTTCCAAGGCAAACCATTCAGCATGACATAAATCCAAGTCTATGTCCCAACCACTGAGGCAAAAAAAAAACAAAAAACAAAAAACTGAAATTGACCTATTCTATGAAGAACTACAACACTGAGAACCTCCAGATGTGCAGCTGGATTTCACAGAGGCAGAGGAGCCAGAGATCCAATTGCCAACAATCCTTTGATTCTTCCGTGATCAACAATCCTTTGATCATGGAGTATTCAAAGGAATTACAGAAAAACATCTACTTCTGCTTTATTGACTACACTAAAGCTTTGAATGTGTGGATCACAATGAATTGTGGAAAATTCTTAGGAGATTGGAGTACCAGACTACCTTACCTGTCTCCTGAGAAACCTGGATGTGGGTCAAGAAGGAACAGTTAGAACTGGACATGGAAAAATAGACTAGTTCCAAATTGGGAAAGGAGTATGACAAAGATGTGTATTGTCAGGCATGGTTATTTAACTTATATGCAGATTATGTCATGCAAAATATCAGGCTGGATGAATCACAAGCCAGAATCAAGATTGCCAGGAGAAATATCAATATATCTCATCCTCAGAAATGTGGATGATACCACTCTAACTGCAGAAGTGAAAAGGAATTTGTCTTTTGATGACAGTGAAAAAGGAGAGTGAAAAGACTGGCTTGAAATTCAGCATTAAAAACACTAAGCTTATGGCATCCAGTCCCATCACTTCATGGCAAATAGCAGAGGAGAAAGTGGAAGCAGTGACTGATTTTATTTTCTTGGGCTCCAAAATCACCTTGACAGGTGACTGCAGCCATGAAATTTAAAAACAAATAAACAAGCAGGCAAACAAACAAACAAACAAAAAAAAACCCACACTTGTTTCTTGGAAGAAAAGGTGTGACAAATCTAGATAGTGTATTGAAAAGCAGAGACATCGCCTTGCTGACAAAGCTCCAAATAGTCAAAGCTATGCTTTTTTCAGTAGTCATGTACGTGGATGTGAGAATTGGACCATAAAGAAGATTGAGCTTGTTATTGAGCCCTGGTTTGAATTCCCTAAGTCATACAGCAAATTCCCATTGGCTATATCTTTTACATATGGTCATGGATATTTCCATGTTATTCTTTCCATACATCCCACCCACACCCTAGAGGGGTGGGATGGGGAGGAAGGTGGGAGGGATGTTCAAGTGGGTGGGGATATGGGTAAACCTATAGCTGATTCAGGTTGATGTTTGGTAGAAACCAATAAAATACTATAAAGCAATTATCCTTCAATTAAAATAAATAAATTTTAAAAAAAAGCTGAGTACCCAGTGGAAGAATTGATGCTTTCGAACTGTGGTGTTGGAAAAGACTCTTGAGAGTCCCTTGGACACAAGGAGATCAAACCAGTCAATCCTAAAGGAAATCAACTCTGAATATCCATTGGAAGGACTGATGCTGAAACTGAAGCTCCAATACTTTGGCCACCTGATGTGAGGAGTAGACTCACTGGAAAAGACCCTGATGCTGGGAAAAAAGTTGAGAAAGCTAATTTCAAAAAAGTTATGAAGTCTGATTTTGGCAAACATTCTTTGGTCTAATAAGTAATCATTTCAAGCTAGGTTTACTTTTGACCATGTTGAGTTTGGGCTTCCCTGGTGGGCAATATATAGAGAG